TTTGGCATGATTTGGGACTGTTTTGGTCCACTTTGGTCATTTGCTTCATGTGTCACTTGACCATAGTTTAAGTCCTTGGGCTTGGTTGCATGCCTTGCTTGCATTGGTAGGTTGATTTGGCATCATCTTCTACGTGTTTTCAAAGCTTATCGTGTATGCTATTTGTCCATGTTAAGTGTGCTTAAAAGCTGCCTTTTTATGCTCAAGTATTGGACCATGTGTGCATGAATGTTTGTGTGTACAATAGCCTTGCATGTTGTCACATACTTGGCCCATAAACATCTTGTTATCATGCTTAAGTGGTAATGCATTTGGCATGCACTCTTGTGGCTTTAGGTTGCTTAACATGTTGTTACATGTTTGCCCCATGTGTTGTTGCATGCTTGTCATTAGCACAGTTGTTCCATGCCTTGCATGCTTGTTTGCTTAGGTTGTGTGCCTAGTACATATTGCATGCTTGCATACTTGCCTCCATGCTCATGTTGCATACTTAGCTCACATGCTTAGGTTGCATTTGGCATGCATGCCTTGCCTCTTGATTAACCATGATTGAGGTTGGGCCTCTTGTTTGTTTGTATGCATTTCATTTCATATTGAGTGGCACACTTGGTTTTTTGGGCCATCACGCATTGAAATGCGCGATTGGTGGTCCGAGAATCAAGGACCATCCTCCTTTGAACCATGAACATGATAAGGAGGGTGTTTGTGCAAGTATTTGCTTTGAAATGCATTGCCATGCCTTGTCTGTCCTCTGCTGCTGTCAAAACAGGTTTCTGCAGGAAGCTTTGGCCGGCCGACCATCCTTAGTGCCGACCGACCAAATATGGATGGCCGAGAGATCAATCAATGGTCGATGACCATTACCAATGGCCGATGATGATTCCCCTTGGCTGGTGGTACTCTATAGTGTCCATGGAGCATTCCTTGGGAGTTGTAAAATTTTCAGAGAAGCAGAGCAGGGTAAACAGAGGCAACTTGTGCATGGCGACGGATTTCCGAGCAAACCCGAGCACGCGTGCATTGGACCCTCTTCCGAGGCCTTTTACTGCTTTCTTAGCTTAGTTAATTTGCTTAACTAGTTAAGTGATCTGTAATATTTAATTAGCTTATAGGTTAATTAATTTGTATTATTCTTTTGGTCCCTCCGAGTAAGGGTGAATTTGTAATAAGTGTGGGTGCGTGTGTGCGTGTCTTCCAACCCCCACTTCTTTCTCCCTTTTACTTACCTGCTTTGAATGGTTAGTATTAGGGCATATTTAAATTAGCATACCTTATGCTATGCATGCGTGCATCCATACATTTGTCTTGCATGCACCGAGCTCGGCGCATCATACTAACTGCATTGTATTTCAATTCTAAGTTGAATACGTGTTAGTTGTAACATCATCATATGTCATCTTAGAATAGCCGAGCCTATTGTAGTTGCATCTTGCATGTATTGCATTAGTCATCTTAACATGAACTAGGATCATGCATATGATTACTAACTAGTTTCTGTTTTGGCTCGGAGTACTAGGTGAGCATTTATGCTTTAACATCTTGCATGTGTGTGAATGTTAACATAATAGCATGCTTACCATGAGGCTATATGCTTATGTGATATACCTGCCTGAATGCCTGTGGGTGAAGGTTGAGTCATTTGAATTGGAACAATGCATTGATTGTGAGTTTTAAGCCCACTTGAAAGTGGCAAAACCTTGTTTTCTAAGCCCACTCAAGGGTGGCAAAATCTGCATTTTAGCCTACTTACGAGTAGCAAACCGTTTTCAAAACAAACATGAAATGTTTTGTTCCAATTCAGGCGATCCTGTCTATACTTGTATGTTGTGCGCATCACATAGTAAATCTAGGCTAATAACCGGAATAAGAACACATAATGTTTTCAAAATTGGATATCATGATTAGTAGAGGCTGACCTTCCCCAATCGTATCCAAGTTTCCGAGCCGAGGCAACTCTGGTGATGACGGACACGTGACCTTAGCCAAACAAGTCAGGGTTTCCTAAATTCTCCCATTAAAAAAATATTTAGGTGGCGATTCTGTATCTGGCAAAGCAGTCCATGTTTGACACTTCTTTCTAAAAATCTGTTTTTCAAAACGATTTGTCGGATTTGGATTCTTTGGTTCAGATTAAGAACCGTGACGATTTGAGAGTCCGAACTGTAGTGAGCCCAAAACGAACAGAACGGGATTCATCCTCCCGGGGCGTTCGAGGGCGCGTCCACAGTGGCCGAAAACTAAAGAATTTTATACAAACACAAATGAAGTTACATATTTGATCCACTGTTAAGAAGAACAGTTAAGGGGAAAAAAATAGAGTACTAGTTAATCATAAATTTGGCAAATCTCTAATTTACAGAGACAAAGGGGAACTGACCTGTGGTTTCACCGTCGTCGGTCCTTGCAACGGCGTGGAGACTGGGTAGGCTGGGTCGCTGGCGATATTGGGTCGCCGTCTAGGGTGGGTTCGGACAAGAACCACTGAGTGTGTGTTGAATGAATGTGTGTTTTCATGTTTCCCCACAAAAATCTGAAACCAATGCTGTGCTTTGTTTTGGGCGGGAAAAACGTGAAATTTCTTTCTTTTTTTTTTTAATCTTAGTTGTTGGATGTGCAACGGCTGATCTCAGCCATTGCAAGGACGCTCGCAAGGAGAGGATCTAAACTAAGTTACCTAATGAAAAACTACAAAAGATATGGGTACAGCTGTACAATCCAGAAGGGTTGGTTTCACAATGAAGTTTTTAAATAGTTTTTTTTTTTTAGCAAATTACAAATACACCCCTAGGTTCGTTTGAGTGTAAGGCTAAGTTTGGCTAGTTGAAAAAAAGCTAAAAAATCAAAAAGTTACTGAAAAATTTAAAAAGTTATCACTATTTACCAAAAGTCAAAAATTACGGCTGCACAACTCTCAATTCTAATTTTCCCCTACACACTAATTTATACAATTTTTTAATACACATTTTTTCATAAAAAGTCAAAAAGTTAACCCAAACATCCATATTTTTTTCCTCAATTTTTTAGTCCAAAAAGACAAAAAGTGTACTTATTTAGGATACTCCAAACAACTTCTAAACTATTAATAGATCTTAATAGTTAAATTTAATTCCCATCAATTTCTATTAAAAATAAGTTCTAATAAAATCGTCGTTAAAAAAAAAAAATTGTGACATTTTTTGCATGTCACTAAAATTTAACAATTAGTAATTTTTTTTTATCAAGATTTTGTAAATTGTCACTAAAATTTATAATCAATGACGTTTTTCTGTGATAAGTTTTTCAAACTGTTACTGAAAGTTAAAATTAGTGACTTTTTTTGTGACGATTTTTTTAAACTATTTTTTAAATTTATAATTAGTGACATTTTTTATGACAATTTTTAGACTGTCGTTGAAAATTAACGATTAGTATCGTTTTTTAATAGTGTTTGATAAAAAAAATTAATTAAGTCTCCCTTTGTTTAAAATACAATTTGCTCACTGTGGTTGAAAATTACATCTTGTCCCTCGAAGTTTCTAATTTTATAACAAATGGTCCATTTTATCAATAAATTATCAAGTCAATTAATAGTTTTTAATTATGTTAGAAAAATATTTCAATTAATAATTCAAGTACTTTAATCATTGTATAGTAGAGTAGTTAAAAATTTCATTTTTTCAGTTAATTCTATTAAATAAAAAATTCAGATAATGAGGTATTTGTAATTTTTTAAAATTACATAAAGGAATTTATACTTCAAGTAAATCTCAAGGAGTATATTTGTGACTTATCTTGGGTAATTTAGATTTTTCCCCCTTTAATAATTAAATTTTTTTCTAATTTACTCCTAAAATTAACTTGTGTTCACAAAAATTAGATTGAAAATATCACATTAATTACCATATTACAAAAAAATATATTATTATATTGAATTTTGGATTTGTGTTAGAAGTGTGGGTTATAATAAAATATTTTTATACCTTGTGGTTATCAATGTGTCATTTTTTTATCTAATTTTAGACAACTTAAAATATAAAGAATCAAAATGAAAAAAATAGAACTTTGAAGACCAATCATAAAAGGGGCAAAGCGTAATTTATTCTCTTTTTTCTTAGGCTATGTTTGGCATCCTCTTCTTGGGCTAAAATAACCACAAAAGACAAAATAGACTTTTTAGCCTAATAAGATAAAATATCACATTTAAATTATAATCATTTTATTTTCTCTCACAAAAGTTCAAAAGTCTATTCCAAATGAGATTTTTTAATCCGAGACTAAAATAACCGAAAAATTAAAAAACTAAAAGCCAACACACTTTTTCAACCCGAGACTAAAATAGTTAAAAAATTAAAAAGTTAAAAGTCAACACACAACCAAAACAAAGGCTTAGTAGAAAAATTAAGTGGCAAAAGTGACTCCAAAAAACTGAAATCAGAACGGAGGAAATAGAACGAGAATTGGGATCCTTGTATTGCTGTGTTTTGAGATGGGGCTCATTTCGGCTTCATTTTTTTCATCCATCTTGAAAAGTGAATTTAGATATAATTTTAAAAAATAAACGATTTAAATTATCATTACAAAAAATGCACCAAACCGAAACTATTCTCTCAAACCCTTGAAAAAAAAGTGAAAGGGAAAGCGGGCTAAAATGCTTCCCCTTGCTCGGAGTACACCGAACCACACCTAAACATTCAATTGCATAATGAGGTAATGGGGGCTGCTTTCTATAAAAGGAAGAAAATACAACAGATGAGGATAAAAACACAATAACAATGTGGTAATTTAATTTGGCATGAAATGGATAAAGGATCAATTTATTTATTTATTTTGGTAAATTCTTTTAAATTACTCATGGGAAAATTTGTTTAAAAAAAAATCTAAATTTAAACAAGCTTGTGTATTTGTAATTTACCCCAAACATTAACCACCATTTAAGCATCATCCGCAATTCCACTTATTCAAATAATAAAAAGAAAAGAAAACCCTGTCAAAGAACAAATTTGTAAAACAACTGCAGCATCTAAAACATCAATGGAATCAAAATATTTTATAAAGCCCAATGAGCAAGGCACAAATCCACATTAATTACAATATAATAACTTCATGGCCTAAAACAGAAACCCACAAATGCTGCCCACGAACCTAGCAAATTCAACTTTATAGAAAACTATCAGTAATTATCCACATTGTGAACCCAAAACCCTAAACAGAGTTACCAAGCACAGCCACCGTAAGCTCTCACACCTTCTTGGCTTTCAATGGTCCTTTCGGGATCTTACTTAAAACCTTCGCATCAAAGACTACATACTGTCTCTTAATCTCAATCATTGCCTTCTCAGCAAAAGCATCGACCTGATCCTCATATTTCTCATACAGCACCGGCACCGTGTGGAGCAAAACAAATGCTGTCACAAAATCATAAAAATTCAATGTCAAAAAAAAAAATTACCAACAAGTAAATGCTTCAACGAACATAGTACTAATTGATTACCTATGTAAAACAAAGTCAAGAAGCTGCAACAGCTCCCCAAAAATGACAAGATCCACAAACCAGCAATCACCTGATGAATAACATAACCATTTTAGATAACAATATTAGGATATGTATTGGTATTAGTATCAGTGATAAGGTCATTTATCAGCCTACACCGGACAATAATGAGTAACTGTATCAAAAGGCAGAAATCCCATGATGTAATGGCCAATATTAAAACCCTGTACCATTCCATACCCACAAAACTTCATAACTAAGGGCCACTAGGTGTAATAGATTAAATCTTAGCGTGAAAATTTCAGAATTTGCAAACAGGGAGGTTCATACTGCAATCTACCATACTCATCAATAACGGGTTTTGAACTCCATAAAAGTACAGCACCAATGTAAAGGTCAGTTCCAAAAGTAGAGCACTCAATCTAGTACGAGAAAGAAATTGACATACACAGATAAACTGTTTGAGATCTCTTCCTAAAGCAATCTCCCTAAGAACTCCAAATGCCCTATTGATTTCAATTGTAAGGGCAGTGGCAAGCTGCACAACTGACTCTTTTGGAATGTGAACTTCTGGAATCTGGGGAGGAGACCTGGCAAAGAGAAAATCAAGTTAAAATTTGTAAAAGGAGATGATTTGAATGCAACATCAATGTCTTACTTCTTCATGAAGGTGCTAGCGTTAGACCACAAGAATAACACAGCCAGAGCCAATATAAAGCCATGACAAACCAATGTGAGCAGATGGTACTCAACCAATTCAAATAGACACCAGATTGCAGTGGCTCCACCTAGGACTCCAGCAGATATCTTCTTGTTTCTCCACAGAAAAACATCAGCCTATTTCTTTACTTTTCTATATTATTATCAAGTCTTCAAATTCAATTTTTATAACCCATTGATTATCAATTACTACCCAAGGTTATAAATTAAATCTCCAACATTTAATTTCTTTGATTCACCTCCTTCATGTAACATCTTCATATTTCACAATCTCCCATTTATCATTGTTCACACTCATCTTAACCCAACATAGGCTTAATTTCATAAATTTAGTATTAATTGAAGTATTCTTCATTTTCCAAAAATAAACTTCATAACTAGAGTTAAGCATAAATTTGGGCTTTTAGTTTTGAGGTATAAAAATCAGTTTCTAATTACACAATAAAATTCTTAAATCTACACTTCATGATCTTATCACAAATTCCATATCATTAACAAATCTATTTCGCCCAAACTTCATTTCATATTAGAGCATGATTTACAATACCCATAACAAAGGTTCATTCGCTAATTTTTAACGTAATTTTCAAACACTTCCAAAATCCGATTAAACTTGTATATATATAATTCAACCTCTCAATTTCATGATTCTACTTTCAATTTGGGCAAAATCGTTAACTATCATCATGAATCAACTTAGGATTTTCAAGAAAAATTAAGATTTTCAAGAACAATTCAAACTTCTTAAACCATTACTTTTTATTCCAATTTTCCCATTGATTATACACTTAAGGTTCATAATGCATAATCTTAACCCAACAATAGAACCCCAACACTTCAAACCCTAAATCCCCAAATTCCATGATATAACACTATATGCTAAAAAATGTAGATTTTGTATTTTTATAATCAAAATACCGCAAATCTATCTATTAATGCCATTATTGGAGAAGAACTAGGATCCTTACCTCAAGAATCAAGCAAAAGAGCAAGCTTTGAGAAGAATCATTTGCAAATCCAAGATCCAATCGGTTGAAAATGTTGAGCTTCAAGCCTTCTTCACTTTATGGCAAGGGATCTTGGCCAAATCTTAGAGAAATGGAAGGTATTTGGGGTCAAAAACCTAGGGTTTTCGGACTAAGGGTGAGAGAGATGAAGAGAGGAGATAGAAGTGTGAAGAATGATCTAGAAAAGTGCCTTTAAACTTGCTGAATTCGCACAGTTCGCTCAAGCATCGCTTTCCACACTCGAGCGTACCTGCTTCCAGCACAGATTCTAAAACTTCAAACAGGCGTAACTCTCTCATCCGGACTTTGTTTTTGGTCGTTCTTGTGTCCAAATTGAAGCCTCAGAAACAAAATTTCCAATGGTTCTAGCTTCACATCCAAATTCAAAGTGTGAAAAAAGAAAAGGGCAAAAGAGTGACGGCTGATCGTAGGCAAATTATTCGAATTAAAGTTTTTGGTCCAATCTTACTTTACCATCATGTTACCACCTCAATCAATAACCCAAAATAAAATAAGGAGGTTCCAAATACACTAATAAAAATATCAAGGGCAATCTCAATTTCCATGCTCAAGCGTCGCTTCCTACGCTCGAGCGCGCGTAGACCAACAAAGCCGTCCGCTCGAGCGACCACTCCTACGCTCGAGCGGGAATTCACAACTCTCAGAATTTTGGACCATCTGCAAAAATGCTGGGAACCTCTCAAGTCTGCTCGAGCATCAACTCCCCCACTAAAGCAGAGGGAAAAATTCTGGTTCGTTACACCACATGTGCAATGTGAAATAGATAATCACCAAAAAGTCCAAATTCGACAAATCTTTTAGAAAATCGATTTTGAATCAAATTGCCAAAAATGGACTGCTTTGCCAGATACAGAGTCGCCACCTAAATATTTTGTTTTAGGAAAATTGAAGAAACCCAGGACTCGTGCCAAAGGCTAACTTTGCAAGAATTGGAACATTTCGAGTCATGTTTTGTTTGAAATTTTTTTTCGAAATATATACCACTTGAAAAAGTGATCATATATAAACATTACTCAAATTATTCTAATTGAAGCAATAAGCCTTCATCCACAAGTATTTTAGCAGTTATAGTACTTAAGCAATTAGCCTCATGGCAAGCATGCTAAACATAGCAACATCAACACTCATGCAATTATGCTAAAGCGAGTAAAGGCTCACCTAGTACTCCAAGCCAAAAGAGCAATGAGTTAGAAAAATGCATGATTCCTAACTATGAAATATGACTAATGTAACGCATGCGATATGCAATCTAAAATAGGCTCGGCTACTTAACATGATTTGTGAAGCAATTAAATAGCATGCGGTCTAAGCACGTATTCAAAGAAGCGTTAAACTAACAATGCAAGTTAGAATGATGCGCTGAGCCTCGATGCATGCAAGACAAATGGATGCAAACATGAAGTATGCTAAACAAAATGTGATGTCCCTAAACTAACCATCATATGCTAGTAAATAAAAGGGAGAAAGACGTAGGGTTGGAAGACACACACATTATTACATTGCACTCTCACAAAGAGAGTCTGAATGAATAAACTAGCTAATTAACTAACTAATTAAAGCTAAGCTAATTATTACAAAACAAATAAAATTAGCTAAACTACTTAACTAATTATTACAACAAATGAATGAATGAATTAACTATTCTAGTTAACTAACTAATTACAAAATGAAATCGAATTACTAATTAATTACAATACCTTACAAAATTAACTAGCTATAACTAATTAATTACAACAATTTAAACTTAAACATGCTCGGTACGCGAGGAATGCACATGCACATGCTCGGTTTCCACCCGAAAAGCCATTGTTTTGCTTTCAGAGAGCCTCTGTTGCACAAAGAACACATTCACTGTTGCCCACTTCCAGAATAACTCTACTTTGCCTCACAAACACACTGCTAAATTTTGCATCTGTGGCCGGCCAGCCAGTAATGAGGCCTGCCGGCCACCAGTGACAGCTGGCCGGCTATTAAAGGTGGCCTGCCAGCCGTGGAAAGTGGCTTGCCGGCCACTGCTGCCCAATTCACCTTGCTGCAATAGAGAACAAATAGAGCATGCGCAGGGTATTTTCAAGGATTTGTTTGCACAACTCACCCCTCATTTTCATGAACAAATTAAAGGAGTAGCTAGCTTGGTTCATAAACCATCAACTCAAGCAATTTCATTGCATGATGGCATATGAACCAAAGTGTGCAAGTTCAATAAATGCAATGAAATGAGACTCTCAAAACCACCTCCCTATCATGGAAGATCAAGGGAAGTAGTGACCTTGGAAACTTGAACCATTACATCACTAATGAGTATGAAATGCCTCAAGTTTCCATGTGTTCAATTAACATCTGATTGAACACAAACAAATTATTATCTTGCACATTTTTAGCCTCAATTTTATTACATCAATTTAGATTACCAACCATTCTTTAATGAATTGAGTTCAACGGGTGAGTTTAAGTCCTCTAATGGAAAGAGGGCTCAAACCAAGAGTTGTCTTAGGCATGAAAGAGACATTATACCATTGGTAATGAACCCCCCTAAGGGATTAAACTATTAATCATGACATCTCAATCTCATGCTTTAAACAAACAAGTTGTTTGAACCACTTTCAAAGCAAAACAAAAGCCAAGAAAGGAGGGAGGTTGCAGAGATGATGAAGTGTGATTACAAGTGTGAAAAGCCATAAATAAATGCAATCAACTCAAATAAAATCGTGTCTAAGGCCTAGAACACCAAACTCATGAGGACTATTACACTACAAGCATGCAAAACAAAGCTCAAATGTAACCAAAAGCCCAAAACAGTGCTAAAATAGGTCTAATATAGTCCTAAAACATGCTGAAATTAAGCTAAAAAAGGCTAGATTAATATGCTAAAACATAGCACAAGCTTGACTAGTAAGCAAGACACAAGGAGGGGAGGCTAGCTCCTACAAATTTGGACTTCAAAACATGATTTTGATCACTGAAAAAGCTCTGAAAATCAGCGTTAAAAAGATAAAAAATAGATAGTAAAAGGGTGGGAAACACAAGGGGAAAGACCTTCAAAGCAAGGTACAAAGAAGGGTGGAACACCCCTCAACCTTTAATGGCCTTAAACCCCAAGTTTCAGCCCTAAAATACAGAAGTTTTACAGCCCAAAAACACTTGGAAAATTCCAAGAAAAAGAGTAGACAAAGCAAGCAAATAGGCAAAGCCTTATACCTTTGAAGAGGAAAACCAATTCTAAGCAACAAAACCAAGCAAACACACCCTCTAGAGCTCCAACAAGGCTCAAGAATACCTCAGTTCAAAGATGAAAAGGTTTGGTTAAGAGTGTATAGGCAAAGGTTGAAGATTTGTAGGCAAAAGTGTAGGAATTTTCTAGGGAGAGAGAGAGAGAGAATTGTAGAGAGAGAGGAAAAATTTTGCTCTAAAATGTTTCCAACCTTAAAACATGAGAGGGAGGCCTCCTATATATAGAAAACATGAATTCTCTTCAAGAACATCTAGCCCTACACGTAGGGGCAGATACATGTATTTGTGCAAACATTTGGCACAACTATCACAAAATATTTGCAAAAGAAACTAGTGGCCAGCAGGCCACAACAGTGGCCAACAACCAAAAAGTGATGGCCAGCAACCCACAAAGGTGGCCGGCAGGCCACCAAGGGTTGTAGGCTTTAAGAACCAAGGCTTGGTCCAAGAATGAGGCAACAAGAGTGTAGGGTTTGAAGGGCTCAAAGCTGTGGCATTCCGCTAAGGACTTCGAGCACTTGATGAGCATATAAACTCATCATCGGGAGTGCATGCGATGGTGTCCAAGTCGTAAGGGCTGTCAAAAATGGAGTGTCTACACATAGTAATCTCATGCTCAAAATAACACACGTGATTAATAATTTAACACATTTCCCTCAAACACTATGGAATATTACAATTTAAAACAACTAAGCATTTTCAAACAAAATCAGATACTTGGAGCAGACCTCCGCCTCCCATTCCCAAGTTGCTTCCTCAACCCCATAGTGTCTCCACAACACCTATACCAACGGTATAGTCTTCTCACTCAACACTTGCTCTCGGGTATCTAATATTTGAAGCGGTCGCTCTTCGTAAGAGGCATCCTCATTGACCTCCAAATCAACCCAATCAAGCACATGAGAAGGGTCAGCTTCATATTTCCTAAGCATGGATACATGAAACACGTTGTGAACCCCCAAAAGTTGTGGTGGTAAGGCTAACTGGTATGCCACTTCCCCAATTCGCACCAATATCTCGAAAGGCCCAATGAACCTTGGAGACAATTTACCGCTCTTACCAAATCTCATCAAACCCCACCTTGGTGATATTTTAAGGAACACATGGTCATTAACTTTGGAAGATAAAGGTCGTCTGCTCTTATCGACATAACTCTTCTGTCGGCTTTGAGCGGTAGCTAACCTCTTCCGAATGAGAGCAACTTTCTTGGTTGTCTCTTTAACAATTTTCGGACCCAACAATGGTGTATCACCCACCTCGGCCCAATAAACCGGTGACCTACGAGGTCAACCAAACAAGGCCTCAAGCAATGCCATCTCAATGCTAGCTTGATAACTAATGTTATAGGTGAATTCAATCAATGGTAGGTGTCTCTCCCAAGACCCTTTGAAATCAAGGACGCCAGTTTAAGCATGTCCTCCAAAATCTAAATAGTACACTCTGATTGCCCATCGGTTTGAGGGTGGTAAGCGGTGCTAAAAGTCAACTTAGTTCCCAACGCCTCTTAAAGGCCTTGGTACAACCGAGAGGTAAAACGAGGATCTCTATCTGATACAATGGTTATAGGGACCCCAAGAAGTCGAACTATCTCTCTAATGTACAACTCTGCCAATAGCTCAACTGAGCCAATGCGCATCGAAATGAAATGTGCAGGCTTAGTCAACCTATCAACAATCACCCAAACGACATCATTACCTCGTTGTGTTCTAGGAAGTCCAACTACAAAATCCATGGTGACATGCTCCTATTTCCACTCGATTATCAGTGTTCGGCCTTCACTTGTTGACGAGTAAGGCACTTCGACACAAATAAGGTGACATCCCACTTCATAACCCTCCACCAAAACTGGCGACCAAGATCATGATACATTTTGGTGCCTCCCGGATGTACCGCAAGGAATGAGTGATGGAACTGTCGAAGTACTTCCTCCCTACAAGATTTTGGTAAAAACAAATGGTCTAGATAACATAGACTCAGATCCGAGTGGATGTTCAAACCCTTCTCTTCCTTCCCGTTGGAAATTCTATCACGGATTAACTCCACCTCACGATCCCCCTGTCGTGCTTCTATGACCTTACTAATCAAGGTAGGTTGAGCAACTAACGTAAACAAGATAGCGCTCTCGCTAGACTCACCCAACTGTGAATCAAACTTGCCAATATCGCCTAACATATCCCATTCCCGAATGGCCACACTTGCCAAACTGCTCACAGATTTTTGACTCAAGGCATCGGCCACTACATTGGCCTTCCCCGGATGATAGTGTAATTCAAAGTCATAATCCTCCATAAATTCCATCCATCTCCGTTGGCTTAAATTCAAGTCTTTTTGGGAAAACAAATACTTTAGGCTCTTATGATCGAAGAAAACCTCAAACTTCTCACCATAAAAGTAGTGTCTCCAAATTTTCAAAGAAAAAATTACCGCCGCTAATTTTAAATCATGGGTGGGGTAGTTTTTTTCATGAGTTTTCAATTGCAGTGAACCATAGGCCACAACCTTTCCCTCTTGCATTAAGACAAAACCAAGCCCATTCTTGGGCATGTCACAATTGACGGTGTAACCCAAACTTCTTTCCGAAATTATCGAGACCGGTGTCGTAGTCAATCTAGTCATAAGTTCTTGGAATGACTTTTCATAAGCTTCACTCCATACAAAGTTGACACCTTTCCTTGTCAACCTAGTCAAAGGTGTGGCTAGTCGAGAGAAGTCCCTTACAAAATGCCGATAATACCCTGCCAATCCCAAGAAACTCCAGATCTCGAAAACATTTTTAGGTTGTTCCCAATCTTGCACGACGTCTATCTTAGAAAAGTCTACGGTTACTCCTTTTCTCGACACTATATGCCCCAAAAACTTCACATTGGTTAACCAAAACTCGCATTTCTCAAATTTGGCATACAATTGGTGCTCCCTAAGCAAATCAAGCACTACCCGCAAGTGGTTCTGGTGTTCCTCCTTGGAGGCGGAATAAATCAAGATATTGTCCACAAAGACAACCACGAAGTGGTCTAAGAATTCTCGAAAAATCCTATTTATCAAATCCATAGAGGAAACGAGTGCAAATCTATACGGCACCATGGAAATCAGTACCATGCTAGGCACTAAGTCAATGGAGAACTCAATTTTCCGGTGGGGTGGCAAACTAGTAAGATATTCGGGAAAGACATCTGGGTATTCACAAACTACCCTTGGCAATTCAACACGGGCATTGTCACCCTCACTATCTAAGAGAGCCGCAAGAAGATCACTAAGCTTGCTCCTACTATGAGGGTCAAAAACTGGTGATAAGACCCTATCAACTCGGTCCCCCAGAAAATAAAACAATCACCACTCGAGGTGCACACTGCAACTATTTGACGGTAACAATCAATCACAGCTCGGTACGAAGATAACCAATCCATGCCTAAAATCACATCAAAACTTGACATGTCTAGCAATACAAATGCAAACAGAAGTTAACCCCCAGCAACCTTTATCTCACAACCGCGACATCCCCGATCTAAATCAACCATAGCCGCAACTGGTGACTCTACCCTGAGCGGAGACGCTAACCGTGCCACCTCTAACCCCAATGCAGAAGCAAATGCAGTAGATATAAATGAATGAGACGCACCCGTATCTATCAACACATTAGCCAAAGAATTGCGCACAACAAAATACCTCTCACAACTGAGGATCCTAGTAACTACTCTGGCGCGGTAACAGCATACACGTGCCCCTGTGGCCTCTGATCAACCTTCTCATCTTTCAGAGCATAGGCTTGTTGCACTGATTAAGCCGAAGTGAATCCCTGATTAGCTCGTGAAGCCTGAATTGAATGAGCCTGCTGGTGGCTCTGAGTCTGCCTCGATCTTGATGCACCAAATGCGCCTCCAAACTGCGGGCAAGCTCTCTTCATATGCCCTGACTCACCACACTAAAAACAAGTAAGTCCTTGCCCTCTGTTCTGGGACTGACTCTAAGATCGGGTAGGTGATGGTGGTAACATCTGCTGCCCTCCTCCTTTCTGTGGGTAGGAAAGGCCAAGTGACCCAGTTGGCCACACTTGAAACACGAAAAACTACCCGGTGCACTCTTCCTCAGGCCTGTACTAGGCATGGGAAAAGTAGATCTAGACTGTTGTAGCTGGGATTAGGATGAAAAGGTGCCCCTATTCTTCTTGCTAAGTCTATAATCACCCTACGAATCTTGGCCCCTAGATCTAGAACTCCGATGTCTTTTCTTCTCGGCCTGCACAGTAATCTCTACATGTGCTGCTGCCTCCACAAGACGGTCATAGTTCTGAATCATAGTTTCGGCAACTTTGAACAAAATTTTAGCCCTCAACCTCTTCTCAAATTCTATGCAACGGCGCTCTTCCGTTGCCACCAACTCCGGTGCAAATCGGGACAGACTAGTGAAGGCCGCCTCAAACTCGGCCACAGATAGGTTAAGTTGGTTGAGGTCTTGAAACTCTTGCCTCAACCTCTCCTTAGCAGTGGGAGGTAGATACTTGTCTTGGAAAGCAACCACAAAGGTTTCCCATGTTGGCTCTACTTTACCCTTGGCGTACTTCCACAATTGACCCACGTCCCCCTTGACGTAGTACTCGCTAGAGTCACCCTTAGCTCACTATCTTCAATGTGAAGCATCTCAAATGTCTTCACCGTTTGCTCGAGCCACTCATCCGCTCTCTTGGGCTCGGGGCCACCATGGAACTCATCTAGTTTAGCTCGCAAAAACTCTCTAGTAAGGAAACTCGCTCTTGTCTCTACAGCATTCTCTTGGGCTTGCTTCTTCGTCCTCAACAAATTCATTGATTCTCTCAAAGCCCCTGCCATTTCTCGGGTTAAGGCCCTCATTGCGGCTTGATCTGCTTGCCCCGAAATCCCCGCTTGCCCCACTTGCTCGGCCATATTAGCTTGGTCCGCTTGGTCGGTCGCATCAGCTTGGCTGAACCTTTCCTCTTGCACCGGAACCTCATGGACCGATACTTCATGTACACCTCGGCGAGATCTACTGTGCTTCCCGCCTCTACCACCACAGGCTTGACCCCTTGTTGACATCCTAATTAAGGAATAAAGTGAACAATTTAGCACATAACCTCAAATGTGCCCACAACTTGCCTCACACATTTGATCACAACAATCCCATATATCTTTCGACCATATAACAAGTTAGCTTCACTCCACATAAGCACTTAGTCACATAAACACATACGAATTATGCTTTTACGATGAAATTCGTCCCATGAAATACCAAGAATTCTTACTAGAATGAGTATTGATCAAGTACCTTCTAATAAGACCTCAAGTAATGTAATAGGCGTGAACCACATCCCAAAAGTCTAACCCCATACCCATCATGTTATCACATAGCCACAAAATATATAACATCTCCTAATCATGCAAAATGAACCCATTGTGGCAAGGCAACCACTTCCCACGAGGTCCAAGTATTCAAACCTGGTAGCTTTGATACCAAGTTGTAATGCCCCAAAAAAAATACACAATAAAGTACACCAACCATCACTACTTATGATAAACCAAATTAAATCTCCAACACTTGCATTACATGAATCAAAGAGATTTTTACAAAATAATCCCACATGCGAATATACATTCAACGATTTTTAGTACATGAACTTATAGCATGTAGAACATCCAGTCAAAAGTAAATAAATGCCTTGAAGGCTACAAAGTCCAAGGCTTAAGCCTGGTTGCACAAAATGGTTGCTTGAACCCATAAAATTAAAGCCCTTGGCTTGTAAAAACATGATCACAACAAAATAAGAGCTCTATGCTCTCAACATACACATCCATGTTCTAGTTTGGCAGAATCATCACATCCTTTCCTGCACCGAAATCCCATCGGGTGAGCATAAAGCCTAGTAGGAAATTCTTAATAAAGTATATACATTTTTCACAAGTCTCATGAATTGAAATGTGCTTGCCATGCTATGCCCTTTAAAAAAAAATCACGTTACCATTTTTTTAAAAATTGTCATGCTCAATGAAAACTGGGAAATTTAACAATTCAATAATTTTACATCAAGCTCAAGGGGCAGTAAATACGACTCAGGTAATCGCTAGGTTGGTGTCTGCAAGTACGCATAACTAGCACTACCAATCCCCCACTTTACCGGTAGCTAACCAGAAGGCACGTGGTACCTCCTCCACGCGTGTTTTCGGTCTTTTACCCTGGACACTCAGGCCAACTTAATCCATTTCATCTACACCCCCAATCCGGACTTACAAACGTATTTACCCCATAACATTTCAATGAGAACTTGTTTCACAACAATTCTTTCTCAATGCAAAAGTTTCAAATCTCAATTCAATATTTGTAACAATCAAAAGTATTGAAATGCCAATGCAATAATTATCAATACCATGAAACCCCCTTCTATTTTCAATTATTCCACACAGTATTCCCATAATAATCACAATATCCATTTCTCTTTTCAATGTCATTTCACATGATAGCCATATATTCATTTAAATCCTTCAATGAGTAGCAACAATCTCACACTTCATGCATTCTCACCAATTTAGTCATTTCATGACTATATGAACATTTTGAATAGCTTCCAAAATCAACAATTCTCATATTCCATAATTTTTCATTTACTATATTAAAAAAAATGAGAAGTCATCCATTCATTTTGGCACATAATGAGTAACAAAAATCCATAGATTCTCCACCTCTTTCAAAAAACCCAAAGTTCTAGGTTTTTTACCAAAAATAGACACCACCTCATCTTTTGAAAGCATCTCACCCAAGACATCTTCCTTCATACAATGTAGTTCGAAACACTCTAGAAATTGTTTAGAAGAGACGAGAGGTAAACCGCTCCTTTTTAAAACCCACTATAGCCAAAGACCAATACCATCAAGGAAATTCTGAAATCAACACAATCTTACAAATATTTATATATATATAACTCTAAGAAGATCCGTACCTCAAATTCTTGGAAGAAAAGAGATGAAAGCCCCAAATCCAACGATGTTGAAACCCGATCTTCACCGCACACAACGAAGCCCTCACTTAGCTCTCCAAACTTAGTGAAGGATGTTGGGCCAAAACTCCAATGGATGACAAGAAATCAAGAGTTTATGGAGTTTGGTGGAGGTTTTTAGAGAGAAGGGAGAGGAAATGATATTTTTATAGAGAGAGAGAGGGAGAGTAGT